TTAATGTTTATTTTTGACAGAGAGAGAGAGAGAGAGAGCGAGCAGGAGCAGGGGAGTGGCAGAGAGAGAGGAAGACAGAGAATCCAAAGCAGGCTCCAGCCTCTGAGATGTCAGCATAGAGCCCGACATGGGGCTCGAACCCACAGACCATGAGATTATGACCTGAGCCGAAGTCCGACCCTTAACCAACTGAGCCACACAGGTGCCCAGCATTTGTTTTAATGCTTACTTATTTTTGAGAAAGGAAGAGAGAGAGATTGGAGGAGGGGCAGAGAGAGAGAGAGAGATTGAGAGAGAGAGAAGAATCTGAAGCAGGCTCTGTGCTGACAGCAAAGAGCCTGATGCAGGGCTGGAACTCACGAACCTTGAGATTATGACCTGAGCAAAAGTCAGACGCTCAACTGACTGAACCACCCAGGCACCCCAAAAAATCAAGTGTGAAAAGATTAGATAATTGCATTCATGAATGACTGAAAGGATTTCCATTTAGGACAGGCCTACCAAAGGCTCCTTTGCTGTCAGGAAATGGGCACCTCCAGGGAAGTTCTGATCACTAGCCTGGTGTTCTGTTTATTACACCATGTGGCTAATGAGTCTTTGTTTCCATTTGCCAACAAAAAAATCATAATCAGAATCGTGAGTAAGATAGTCATAATAGTGCGTTATAATGATAATTCCCTTTGTTTTTTTTCCAAAGAGATTTCATTTTTATCATTCGTTTTTTTGAGCCGGTTGGTGAAATGAAAAGAGCATTGGACTAAGAGCCAAAGGATCTACTAAAAGCAGCTGGCACGTCTCTCCCTGGAGAATCTTGAGGGGTCAGTTAGGTAGCATGAGGGATACTCCATGCAGTTTTACCAAGATAACTTTTCATAGGTCCTTTGAGCTCTCTGAGTTTTGATGTCTTCCTTGATAAAATGAAGGGGTTAGTTGGCCACTAACAGTCTCCACCTTTCTCACTTTCATATTGTTATTCTTGTTAGACTTTGGGAGGTAAGTAGACTAAGGATGGGTGATACTGTGATTTAAAATAAGAAATATAGTTTCAGTCTTCCTCCAGATTCCCGGCACAGAGCTCCTAAAACCCTAGGAGCTGCCCTGGGGAGGAGAGGCATAAAGGTGTCTTTTGTTATGTTAATGAAACGACTTCCAGAGGAGGGTGCCAGTTGCCAGGGAAACCAACTGTGTATTATTTGCCCCTCCAGTGAGGGGCAAGGGGCTAGGGATTGAGTTTAATCACCGATGGCTAAGGATTTAACCAATCGTGCCTGTGTAATGAAGCCTTCATAAAAATCCAAAGGGGCAGGGTTCACAGAGTTTCTGGGTTGGTACATCTGTGGAGATGCAGGGAGAGCAGGGTGCCTGGAGAGTGCAGGAAGCCCTGCCTTCCCACATACCTTGCCCTGTGCATCTCCTCCATCTGGCTGTTCCAGAGTTATATCCTTTTTTTTTTTTTTTTTTTTTTTTAATTAAAAAAATTTTTTTTAAGTTTATTCATTTTTTGAGAGAGAGAGAGAGAGACAGAGTGTGAGTGGGGGAGAGTGTGAGTGAGAGAGAGAGAAAGGCAGACACAGAATCTGAAGCAGGCTCCAGGCTCTGAGCGGTCAGCACAGAGCCTGATGCGAGGCTCGAACTCATGAACAGTGAGATCATGACCTGAGCCGAAGTTGGACACTTAACCGACTGAGCCACCCAGGTGCCCCCGGAGTTGTATCCTTTTATAATAAACCTGTAATCTAGTAAGTAATCTTTCTTTGAGTTTGGTGAGTTACTCTAGCAAATTAATCAAACCCAATGAGTGTTGTTAGCAAATTAATCAAGCCCAATGAGGCTTCTGATCAGAAGCCTTTTGGTCAGAGCACAGGTAACAAATTGGACTTGTGAGTGGCATCTACAGTGGGGGACTGGGCAGTCCTGTGGGTTCTGACACTATTTCCAGGTAGTGTCAGAGTTGAGTTGAATTGTGGGACACCCAGCTGGTGTCCAAGAATTGCTTGATGGTGTAGAAAAAAAGCCCACACACTGGAATTGGGCACAGAATCCCAAGATGGTTAAAAAAAAAAAAAAATCCTCTTCACTGAAGAGGAACTGAAACAAAGAGGTAAAGTGAACATCCTGATTAAGGAGAATGAGATCTGAGCAATCACTTTCCCCACCCAGCTGTGTTTTCTTATATGTGTTAGAAGCTGATGGGGCCTGTTGTATTCTATGAGGAACTCTGTGGCCCCCCCTGTGGACAATGTTTCACTAAATGCAAATGATTTTAGAATAGAGAATAGTAAGGTCAGACTCCAGGTGCATCCTAGAGGATATCTGATCTCAAAGGAAAGATACCGAAGCTGCTTCTCTGGGTAAAATGGAAATGTTGGGGGTCTGAGCTGCTTGCATCTGTGAAGAGCTGCCCGGCCCATGAGCAAGGACAAAAATTGTCTTTCTAGGATTTGTCAGTTGTCCAAGAAATAGCTCTGTGAGAAATTTAAGCTTGGTATTCTAAATCAACCCTATTTCTTTTTAAAACCAAGGTTTTTATCATTTTGATCCATGAACTGCTTTGAGAGTTTTACAGTGGGTCATATGATCATTTTACAAAAATACAATATGAGCCATCACAGAGAATTTTTGCAAATGATTTCAGTAGGTAAAAAAAAAAAAAAAAATCCTCTGAATGCCATGGATTGGTTTTGAAAATTCACTACACGTAAGAACAATACTTGGACTCCATTCTCAGAAATTCTAATTAATTAGATACCAAGGAGTTGGTCCTAGATTCTGAATTTTTATAAGCACCCAAGAGAATTCTGATTCCACTGAGCTGGACTAAATACTGTGAAACATTATGAGGGGGGTCCTTGTCTCTCAGTTAAGAGACACTGCCTCAGATTGCCTGAGAATTCCTGTGTTCCTGAGTATTCAGGAATTAATCCCCCAAATTAACATCATCTTTTCCAATTTCAACCTAAAAAGAACCCCAAGCCTCCCATCAAATGAATTAGCCAAATGGGAGCAAAAAACCAAACACAAAGTAAATAAGGTTTTGTACTGATCGAGCCAGTTTGCCTGGCTTCCTAGCTGGGCATCACCTGTTGAGTGTTCGATTTCCAAGTCACTGGGTGACACGAGGCCTGGCTTTATACAAGTATGGGTGCTTGTCAGCTGCATTGTACAGTGCAAGAACAATCACATAAGAATGGGCTAGTCTCAGTGAGACCATGAGTGGTTTGTTCGGAAGCAGCATAATCAAGAGTGATTGCAAGTGGGAGTTGAGATCAGAGCCAGAGAAGTGGTGTTGAGCAGCAGATCTGGAGTAAGGCAACACAGTCATTGGAGGGGAAATCAAGGCCTCATAGGACTAGCCCTCAGTAACCATTTGGGTAATGGAATTGGAGTTGGATAGAAGCAAGCAGTTCAGGAGGGAGGCTGTGAGCAAAATGAAGTCATTGGTCTGATCAGATCCAGGCCAGTTACACACACTAGACTTGACTGGACATAAGATGTTCTATATAGACATTCACTGATGAACACTTACTATGTAGAGGTCCAGAAAAAAGAAACCATTGTGGATGGTAAAATTTCTCCTTTCATCTTATTTCTGATGACTACTTCTTAACAATGAATTTACAGAAACACTAGTTACTTCTATGCAATCTCATTAGCAATCTTCTTTATTAGGGTGTTGTCTAGTTCAGGAGGTGGAAAGATTTTTCTCTGCAGCACTGAATAGCAAATATTTTAGCCTTTGTGAACTACAATACCACCTCTGTTGTTTATTCTTCATTTTTTCCTTTTTACAAGCCGTAAATAATGTGAAAACTATTCTTAGCTCTCTGGCAGTACAAAAGAAGCAAAAAAAACAAAAAAACAAACAAACAAAAAGGCACAGAAAGGATTTAGCCCCCAGGCTGTAGTTTGCTGAAGTTCCACTTGAATATCCCAACAACAGCAGTAAGATTATTTTGTTTTTACATGACATTTAATATTTTCTATTAACAATTATAGTTCAGTGAGAAAAAATAATAGTTACTGATTTCCCATTGAGAATATGTCCCCTCCCTTATGTACTGATAGGAGAGCGTAAAGCTGTGGGATGAGAAATACCGTTTTCTAAACTTGAGTCCTTTTGGGGGCGCCTGGGTGGCTCAGTCGGTTAAGCATCCAGCTTCAGCTCAGGTAATGATCTCACCGTGAGTCGAGCCCCACTGTCGGGCTCTGTGCTGACAGCTCGGAGCCTGGAGGCTGCTTCGGATTCTGTGTCTCCCATTCTCTCTGCCCCTCCCGCTCCTCCCGCTCCTGCGTTCTCTTCTCTCTCTCTCCTTCAAAACCAATAAACATTAAAAAAAATTTTTTAACTTGAGTCCTTTTATAGCCACCTAATATTAAAATCTGTAGAGACAGAGTTGAATTTTAACTTGGTGTCATTTGACATAAAAATTCAGATGTGACAATGGTCTATTCCTTTTGGGCTCTATTTTAAAAACTAGCTAATGTGATTTTTGGATTACTTGGATGACTATTTTATTACTTGAGTGCTACCATGATATTTATTTAAGTCCAAGTAGACATTTGAACATAAGATCCTTTTGCTTCTCAGTAGTATTACCTTAACTGTTGCCACATAATGAGATAGGAACAGAGGTAAATTGAATAAAGGCCAAGTGATTTCACAGTTTTCAGGTCTTTTAATAGAGGAAAAATGGTTGGATATTGAATTATCATATAACACATGGCCTGTTTAACACCAAACTAGAAAGATCCTGCAACATAGATGTTAATTCTGTACCCTAAAGGAAAGGATCAATTTCAGCAAAAGAACATTCTGGTTACATCCAATTTATGTTGTTTCTTCGAATTTTGGTGATGATGTATTTGTAAATTTGTGTATAATTTGTCCTGTTAGGAATTTATGAATGTGTGTGTGTGTGCGTGTACTCAATTTAGATCAATCCCAGAGGTGTTAGGAGACTATCACAGTGGTCAGTGTGAAAATGATAAGAGTTGGGCACAAGGTAGTTACAGTCAGCATGGTTAGAGCAGGTCTCTGCTGGTCCATGCAGGACCATTTTACACAGCAGCAAAAGACACCCCTTCCTCTGGGCAGATGAAGAGGCACGTGACCTATAGCAGTGATCGACTGGATTTTAGCCTCATCAGTTTCCTCAGCCGGACACTCTTGCTCAGGGGTGTGCTCCTGTCCTGAGTAAAAAG